AGGCACTGTAAAACTGTGTTCAAAATTAGGCTATAGTTGCTGGCTTATAATGCATGTAGTGCTGAGGTTATGCAAACCATGTGATAGAATGATGGTTAGTGGATTCATCTACCAACTCAGACGGTGGTCTAGATTTCTATCTTTTATTGTGACAAGATCTTTGCCCAAGCAGTATAACCAGGGGTTCAATCCAGCTTTGAGTAATTGGCACCAACAAATATTCAGGTGATAGTAGAGGTATCCACCATGTTATTCTTCTACATGTTACTTGTCTAACATCCAACATATCAAGGGTCACTATGTTTATAAGTCTGAAGCCATATATTGACACAATTCAGCAGAACTATAAAACCAAATTTCTTATGCTCTCATGGAAATGAATTTGCAATTTTTTTAATTTGTAGTATATGAAATTGGGGAGCTTTCTTAATATCCTACCCCAAACAGGAGAAATCCACAGGTCACAGGACAATCTAATATGTTAGGGGGTGGTAGATAGGCTGCATGCAGTCATGGGACCTAGGCTGCACTCTCTTGTGGGATGTAGGTGGGTTAGGGCCAGTTCCACATAGTTTAGGGTCATTAAAAGCATCAGAAAGCTGGGAAACCTAGTCTTAAACCACCCTAGAACATGGTGTGTCCTCTGACGTGATCTAGAGTGGGATAATACGAAAGAACCTGAAATTAATTTTTGGACTATATAGGGAATTTGTGGACTATGAAATTTTATTTTGAAGACTATAAAAGAAAGTTGGGGTTTATGAAAAGAAATTTGTAGACTATGAAATGGAGTTTGTAGACTATAAAAAGGAATCTGTTGAATATGAAACAGCATTTGTGGAATATGGAAAAAAGGTTGTGAGCGAAAGGCATTTATTGACTATGGATAGGCGGACTATGATAGAGGATGTATGAACCACAAAAAGAGATGTGCGGACTGTGGAAAGGCCCTTGAAAACAATGAGAGGGATTTTCTTTACAATCTCATGGGGTACTATGCAATCCCATAGCAGATTCTTAACTTTAAAAGGCAACATTTAAAGACATAAAATAAAAGAGTTCTGTGCACAGTTAAACTAGCAGTCCTATTTGAAATAAGAACAGTGTCTCAGGGGTACCTTTTGTCATTTACATTATTCTTACTGAATTCGGACTAGACTATGATAACAAGAATTATCTTCAAACAACAAAATTCAAAGAAGCAGCTTGACGATCCGGTGCTGGATAAAACACATACAAAGCAGTTAATAGTACAAATAGGAAGTATGTTCTCTGGAAAAAGCAGGACAAGAGAAATACCATTAAAAGATTAAAGAGATTAAGCGGCATAATATAGGAGGGGTATGGCAGGAGCTGCAGAGAGACAGTTTGTCATGAGTTAGTTGAAGGCTATGTTCCACAGAGGATTAAAAACTAGAAGAAAGAAGGCCTTTAACTTTAATCCTTCTCTATGTGGGTTCTTGATCCACAATTTCTTCTTTAAGTCCATGCTGTGTGACACTGGTAGTCATGTCTGTCCACAACCTTCTGCCCCATGTACTTTCAATCACTGAGACAGATGATCCTCCATGCAATGATGCCAAACTATCTAGCATCTTGTCTACTGGTCTCCCTCTGCCTCTACTCCCCTCGAACGTTCCTGCTGTCATAATGTTTTCCAGTTTTCTCCTTCTCATCACATGACCAAAGAATGCAGATTTTTTCTTTCTGATGTGGGCAATCAGTTCTCTTCGTGACTCAGTTTCTTTCAAGACATCTTCATTACTCTTTTTTATCTGTCACAGGTGTTCTAATAATTTGTCTATAAAACCACATTTCTGTATCAGTTGAAAAAAAAAAAAAAATACCTGCTGCCCCTCCCAGCAAGCATATCATAAAGGTGACTAACAAGGTTTTTTTTTATTTGAAGTCAGAGTGCACTTGCCTGGGAAGTGAGGAACCAACAGTCTGCATGCAAGTAAGTCAGATTGTTAGAACCGATGTGCAGGCAAAACCCAAGTTCTGGAAAAAGGACTCCACGCAGGCCCGTCAAATATTCTTTTTTTTTTTGTCTCACTCCTGACATACAGTAGTAATTTACACATCATTTTACAGACAATAAAATACAGTCAAAGGCCTCTAAGTCCTTATAATAAAAAGTCTAGAAGTGGACCAGATTTTTCCGCTGGAGTGAACCTAAGAAGAAGAACTTACTTCATGAGTTCCACCTTGTGCTGAGTATGAAAACTTGCATAAATACTTTTTCTGGAAATAAACACAAGATGGAGGATTAACAAACATTTTGTTATGTCACTTATGTATTGTTCTCATTGTTAAGATCTCAATAATGGTTATATATGAAATGAGTTCACTTATTTCGCTCAGTACCATGCATCTCAACATACGGTGATTATTAGTTCAAAGACAGTGTACATTCCTGATTCTTCTTTTATCACATATATTTGTTATTATATATTTGTTTTTAACTTATACATTTGAACTGTCAGTTAAGCTCCTTCAGCTTCTTAATGTTATTATTTAACTCTTTCAATCCCATGGTGTTACTTCAAAACTATTACAGTTACTTCTAAAGTCTTTGTACCTTACAGCATCTGTTTTTTAATGAATTTAAACAACAGATTTTGAGTATAAGAAGTCAAATCAACACTTCAGCAGAACCGGTCAGAATAACAGAAGAATCTGACAGATAAAATAAAGAAACATGTACTGTATTAAGAATAACAAACAAATGTATTATGCATTCTCTGGTATCGAAAGAGTTAAACATCTCTGGGCTCAAAAACGTACTAATTTAAACTAAACTTCTCAAGGTATATCTTATCTACTAAACGAAGTTTAAGTAACAACAGGCTGATAGTAAAAGAGTTACAGAAAACAGCTGAGACTATGAGAAATTATAAAATTATAGATGTAATGAAAATAATCTACCTAAATGAAGTAAATGACAATGATTAAAATAAAATACTGTATAAATATTAATTTAAATTACTTTTACTTTTAGTATAAGTAATATGAATTAATATGTAAAAATAATTAATAGTTACTAACAGGTAATGAGAGCTGCCACGGTGTAGCGGCTAGATGCTTATCTGTAGATTGGAAGGGGAGTTGGGCCTTGACAAAGTCCATTTTTTGGCTCTCTTTTCAACTACGGCTGGTAGACAACAGTAGACGGCTGGTTAGTCGGAGTTCTGTCCCCTGGCTGCAGTGCAATTACGGACTGGTGAAGGCACGAATCAGAAAACAAAGTGAGGTCGACATGCCTGGTAGACGCCGCGCCGCGCCTCAAATTAGCGACCGCGTTCAATTACTGCTTCTTGCGGCACATTTCGGAGTGGATTAGAGGGAATGAAACAAGTGACATAATTACTGTGTTGGCGATAGACAGCGTGCAGTGCCCTACTGTCATCATACGGTTAGGGTTAGGGGTAGGGTTTTGGTTAGGTTTAGGGTTAGGGTTGCTACTTTGAGTTTGTGCGAAGACGAGATGCGCCGACACTAACCGTAACCCTAACCCACACCCTAAACCTAACCCAAACCCTAACCGTATGATCATAGCAGGGCAGTGCACGCTGTCTGTCGCCAACACACAGTAATTATGTCATTTGTTTCATTTCCTCCTGTCCAGTCTGTAATAGCACTGCAGCCAGGGGACAGAACTCCGACCAACCGGCCGTCTACTGTTGTCTACCGGCCGTAGTTGAAAGGAGAGCCCATTTTTTTCAAAAATGATCTTGGCTCAGAGGTCGACTCAGCCTTGAGTGGGTATCGGGTAAAGTCCTGAGAAGTAAAGGTATGCGGCCTGATGCTGACCACATCATCTACCCAGTGCCAACTCACTGGTCTAGCCTAATATGCCTAAAGGCGAGGAAAAAGATCCTTTATTACTTATTAGTTGTAATAGTATACTAATAAAATATGTTTATTCTACTGCACAGTCAATTTGCTCAAACATATATAATACTAGTAACTACCTCTGAAAATTACTGGAAGTAAATGATCCCTTCAATGTTGTTATGTTACTGGCACTAATCAATGCATATAAAACTGGGCTCTCCTAGCAGATTTGGTCGGAAGCTGGTCGGCTTCGGTCGGCATAGTGGGAGTTCTCTCCCTTGGCCGCACTCACAACAAGAAGCGCAAAACGTCACGACTCAAACACGACAGTGAGGTCAACATCAGGGCTGCCAATGCTTGGTTGTGTCCCCCAGATCTGGGTTTTTCTTTTGACGCTGCGGGAAAATCTGGGTTTTTTTTTTCTGTGTGTCTGTCTGTGGGTGTTTTGCCAACCTGTAAGCTTGTAAGCTTTAATGACCGATAAATTTGCGTGGTTAGGAGTTGGGTTAGGGTTAGCGGTAGGATTAGGGTTTGGGTTAGGGTTACGGTTAGGGTTAGGTGTAGCGTTAGATGTGACAATTGTGACGCCGTAGTTCCCTATAATCGCGCACAGTCGCATGCACGCGCAAACAGTCGACGGACGGTGGATGCTACTGACACGGACAATTCGCCACCGATTGGGCACCAGCCGCGCTATTGCTGTCATATTTGCCACACTTCCAGTGGCGCCACTCCCACAAACAGATTGTCGGCCAGTATTTCAACCTCTTACGTGAAAATTTTCACATCTAACCCTAACCCTAACGCTAACCCTACCCTAACCCTACCCCTAACCCTACCGCTAACCCAAACCCTAAGCAACCCTACACGCAACCGTATGACGATGATAGACACCCTACGCAGCCCTACACGCAACCGTATGATGATGACAGACACCCTACGCAGCCCTACGCGCAACCGTATGATGATAGGTAACCCTAGACGCAACCGTACGCAACCCTACACGCACCCGGATGATGATAGGTAAGTATGTCATTTGATTCGTGACTTTTTCCGCGACTTGTTTTGAGTTTGGCGAAGGGACATAACTCCCACTGAGCCGACCGACGCCGTCCAGCTTGCCGGCCAAATCTGCAAGTAGAGCCTAAAACTGTAAACAATAGATAAAAAGCAGACTCACTGAGTGGGTTTTGGGGACCCACTGTAGAGAACAAATATATAATAACAGAACTGCCCCTAACGAGAGTTGTAAGAGTCGAGTAAGTAATAAGTATCAGAGTGCATCTGCTTAAACTTGAGGAACTAACAATCTGCTTTTAAATAATAAGTCCACTAAGCCAGATCTGTAAAAATTGAAGAAGAAATGGACGAATAACCATAACTTTCCGCCGGAGTTTACAGGCACTGAACGCGAAACAGAATGTGAAGAAAAGAAGACAAAATTAGATGTTTAAGTAAGTGTGTTTATAAATGCCAATGGGAATCATTCCGTTGCTTACCAGTTCTGCTTGAACACTTAAAGTTCCTGCCCCTGGTTTCACATAAAATATGTCTTCTGAACGCTCATTTGCAAACACCGATATGAATAATAACAGCAATAACGCAGAAACAAGGATCAAGTGCTCCATTTCGCGAGAAAAATGTGACTGTTGTTGCACTGCAGTGACACATGAAAATGTTCCCAACCCGGGCCAATAGCATGAAGGGAACGTGTCAAATCTGTATCACTTTGACAAAATATTTGGGTTACTGTCCCTTGATGCATTCTTGTGTGTAAAGTAAGTAAAGTTACGATTGATTTTACATCCGGTACGTTGAGAGGTAAAGATCAACCCTTTTCTGGGGTTTGAAGAAAACGAAAACAAGATCAACAGACAAAAACTGGCTATCACCCAACGATAAAAATAAATGATGAAGAAATAAAAAATGCCAAAAACTTTGAATATCTAGGCTCCTCTCTAATAAATAGCAAAGGAGACTGAGCAATCAAAAAGAGGATGGCCATAGCAATATAAAGATAGAACCTACATTAAAAGTCTGTTAAGCACCAGCAAAAAAAATCAAAATTATATGATATGAAAGAATATGAAAGTACACGAGGTGGCAGACCATGATGAGAGCGACGTCCTGCAAAGGACAGGCTGCACGATGATGGTTTCCCAGAGATGCAGGAGTGCGGGATTTTGTGTTTAATATATATATGGCTATCCTCCGAATAACGGGCGGTAAAGATGGCGGCCGCAAAATATCCTGGCGAGCCACAGTCATGTGTTGTAAACATTCAAAAAATTGAAGTCAAAACTAATGAGGAACGAAATTTGTTTTATATCAAATCGACTATTTACCGATAATTGTATGCCATTATATCTGAAAATTATGGCACGGAAGTTGTAAATAGTGTCCGAAAATCTGCTGTTTGTGGATGTTACGCCATTGAAACTCGGCTAAGTACGATCGGAACAAGGCGCGGCTCGCACCAGATTGGTAACGCAGCTTTCTCTTTAGTAGCATCCACAAACCGGCTATCCTCCGAATAACGAGCACAAAAGATGCCGGCCAATGGCGTCCAAAAACAGGGCCTCAGTCACGTGTCAAATGCAACTTAATTTGCGCTTTTCCGGCGACTACTGTCACCCCTGAGAGTGGCCCGAACGCCGCTCACGCGGCGTGGATTGGGACTTAACTAGATGGCTAGGACTCGCGAGCAAACCTGCAGGAGATGCGGAAGCTCCTGTCCGTGGGTCCCACATATATATGTACACTTTTATATATATAATTCATGAACCAGGGGATGAATAATGAAAATTAATTTTGAGGATTATATAATATACACGTATAACGACATAATTAAAAGAGGTAGGGAAAAGTGAGTTTATTGGCTGCTTTCGAAAACATCTAGTTTAATTAGAGGATGATACAGTACCTATACACGAGCCGCCACTGGTCTTGATTTTGAGGTGTTAAGGCCGGATGGCTAGTACAGTGGCCATGAACAGCGCAGATTAGGATTCTTATATTTGCCCCTGAGAGAAAAACCTCCGTCCTTTACCGAAGTTCGACCCCAGGGAAGTCCTACGAAAGCCCATGGGCCTAAATACACGGCCAGCTGGTAATGTGTGACATTTCCAATTCATTCATAGCACATGGATGCATCTGCGTGCCAGAATGCTGAATGTGGGTTTCCGCCAGTTAAGTAACATATACTAAACGATTGTGTCGGGAAGTAGAATTCCCACCTTCTACCGTTGTAAACAAGCACAACCTGTAGCTAATTAAGGATACCGTATGTAAAAGTGGAAGCAATCGAAATTATATCTCACCTCATCATCATCCACATTATCATCATCATTATGTAGCAGGTTCCTTGCAGAATATCGTTCTCATCACGGTATGTTTGAAAGAAACTCGGTATATCGCCAGCTTTCCCGCCCCCTGTACGAAGGCATCCTCTGTATCCTTAATTCAAGGAGTCACTAATATCCTGAGTAAACGCCTGCCTGCGGGTCGGAAAGTCGTGGTTTGGCGCCCTGACATAGCCGGACTTGAAAAAAAAAAACAAATGACCTTCACTCCCAGGTTGACCCAGCCTTTTAGTAGATATCAGGGAAGTCCTGGTAAATAAAGGCTGCCGGCGTGATGTTGACCACATCACTCACCAAACGCCAAAAAAATGGTGACAAAGGGCCCTTTACTTTACTGCTCCTCCTTCCTGGTACCCTGCCTTCTGCTGGGATTTTCTTTAACCGCCATGGCGGGTGATAAGACCAAAAATATTTCAGCTTGCTCGAAAATATTCTGTTTAATATTAGCCAATCTTCTTTGTTGTGCGGATCTTTTTAAATGGTCGTATTTCTTCTCTTTTTCGAAATAATATGAGACGTTTAAAACAAAACAAAAAATGGTTTCACTAGGCAATGTCTTCTTTTCGCTCGCTCGAGTGACATAATTGCATTGTTTCTGTTTACAGCAAAGCTGAAAGCAATATTTGTGCCTTTCAGCCGACACATCTGACTTAATCAAGTATTTTTTGACCCGGTTAACTTCCGGGATTTACCAAGCAATTTACCTCGCTAGTTTGCCATTGCAGTCTATCTGTCTCTCTCTTTCTCTCTCTCTCTCGCACGTTCTCTCTACCCACCCCTCTCTGTGTGAGTTTGCCTGCCTGTTTGTCTATCTCTCTGTATGTTGTGCTCTCTCTCTCTCTCGCTTTCTCACCCAAACCCTTTACCTGTTTTTGTTTGCCAAGATTGCCATATGTGTGAAATATTAAAAACTGTCATGTGAATCCGACTCTCAGGGCATCCATTCTTAAGTAAAGATTAGGAATTATGTTTGAAAAAATCTGACAAGGGAGGTAACAACAAAAGGCATGGTACCAAGAAAGATGGTCATTGGTCGACCAACATGAAGATGGGCAAAGGATATAAGTGACTCAATGATATGAAAGTAATCGAGTTGAGAGAGCGGGCGAAAGATCGAGTCCATTTTAGGCAGACTGACGAGAGCGATGTTCTGAAAAAGACCTGCTTCATCAGTGGTTCTCAACCTTCTTAATGCTGCGACCCTTTAATACAGTTCCTTGTGTTGTGGTGACCCCCAACCATACAATTATTTTCGTTGCTACATCATAACTTTAGTGAATACGTGTTTTCCGAAGGTCTTATGCGAACCCTGTGAAGGGGTCGCGACCTACACGTTGAGAACCGCTATGCTACATGATGATGATGAGGCCAATTAGACTTGTCATTTGCTATATGCAGCTATACGTCGACAAAATCCATCATCAGCAATTGCGTCCCATATTCTAAATTCCGGGCACATCGTTAACAAGGATGGTGCATTTCGAATTATTTACAATTCAAAAAATTGTAGATTACTCCGATATGCGGAAGCGCCAGTGATAAGCCGAATGAAACCAGAACTTTGCAGGCGGAAAGAAATGGTGGTTACCTTACGGTTACCTTGGTGAAACAGACAGTTCATGAATGTAGTCGAATTTATGTTTCAGTTTCTAGGATTCAGCTATTTGCTTCATTTTAATCAATTGTTACTTTACTATGCACCTGACGAGATACAGCGAAATATGCCAGGCAATTAAAAAGTGTGCAGTCTATTAATTGTGTCTTTTTTGTTCATATACATAGAATGCCAGTTTCCTAAAACATACAGTCCGGCGGTCCAGCAAGATGTGTATTATGCAACACTGACGTAAGACGGTTTCTGTACTGTTTTCTTCTTCTTAGATATATAAAAAAGAAAAGATTATTATTCAAAGTATTCCTCATGTTGATTCCAGGGTCCCATTGTAGGGAAAACCAGAATAGACCCAATGCTTCTCCATCAAGCATGTCGTAAGAGTCGACTAATTGGGGACTTCCCAGTATGATGTGCTTCATGCACCGTTGGCGTCATAATGTTTTTGCGATGTGTGCTTTTTTTTCAAACTTTTAAACAACGATTATTATTTACAGTATTCTCCGTGAGGGTTCCGGGGTCCCATTGTGGGGGGGGGGGGGGGGGGGGGAGGGGCCAGAATATTCCATCTGTCTCTCCAAAAAGCATGTCGTAGGAATCGACTAATTAGAGACTTCTTTCGAAGTGCGACTGCCAACCCGGCAATAAACAACCATCTGCACACACACAAAACCAGTAAAACAGATGTACACGCTAAACTCACGACCTGCCACAAACCAAAGTCCAAATGGACGAACAATCAGGACTTTCCGTCTGAGCTTACAGCCAGTGAACCAAGAAAAAGAGGAAGATTCACAGTATTTTTTTCTTTTTACATAAGGAGTGTTGGATTGGAACTGCAGCGGAATCTTCTTCACCATCGTCTTCACATTCGCCAGCTGTAAACTAAAATGGAAAGGTTTGTTTGTTCGTAGATTCCTGAACGTTAATCTTTTTCCAGAACTTGGGGTTTGCGTGCACAACCATTTTACACATATGTCTTATTTATTAGCAGACTTTTCGTCCCTCGGCACTCAGGCAGATGCACTTTGACTTGCAAAAATCTAATACCTAAATAGTTGCCTTTTCGACACGCTTGCCAGGGGTGCATTGGGTTTTTCCCCCCCCCCCCCCCCGCCCCCTCCGTCCTCTTCCAGATGAGGCACTGGAATCCACACAATAAATTGAAATAATTAAACACCTCACTATACTTGATTGATCATTGACAAAAACCCCTACACTGGCAAATCCGTTATCTACTCAAGACTCAAGAGAACCGCACAAAATTAAGGTGTGTAAACGTGAATCTTAAGACCCAGCTGGTGTTAAAACATTTAGGAGCATGTGTATCAGCATTGATGTGAGCTTATATCTAGTTTATTTTCTCCAGTGCAGTTTTGTCATGCAACTGTAATTTCCAAAACCCATTTTTTTATTTTGCCAAATGCTTCTAAATGTTGTTCTTCATCATCATCGTCATCATCATCCTCCCCATCATCATCATCATCATCATCATCATCTTCTTCTTCTTCTTTTTCTTATCTTCTTTTTCTTCTTCTTCTTTTTATCTTCTTCTTTCTTCTTCTCATTCTTCCTTTCTTCTTCTGCTTCTTCTTCTTCTTCTTCTTCTTCTTCTTCTTCTTCTTCTTCATTTCTTCTTCTTCCCTCTTCTTCTTCTTCTCTTTCTTCTTCTTCTTCTTCTTCTTCTTCTTCTTCTTCTTCTTCTTCTTCTTCTTCTTCTTCTTCTGGTCTTCTTCTTCTTCTTCTTCTTCTTCTTCTTCTTCTTCTTCTTCTTCTTCTTCTTCTTCTTCTTCTTCTTCTTCTTCTTCTTCTTCTTCTTCTTCTTCTTCTTCTTCTTCTTCTTCTTCTTCTTCTTCTTCTTTCTTCTTCTTCTTCTTCTCTTCTTCTTCTTCTCTTCTATCATCTTCTTCTTCTTCTTCTTCTTCTTTTTCTTTTTTATCTTCTTCTTCTTCTTCTTCTTCTTCTTCTTCTTCTTCTTCTTCTTCTTCTTCTTCTTCTTCTTCTTCTTCTTCTTCTTCTTCTTCTTCTTCTTCTTCTTCTTCTTCTTCTACTATTTGAAGTTTTATTATCTGTTTGAATTATCGGTTCGCAGGCAATAAGTGCTGGCGTATTCTAGATCTTAAATTCCTTCTCATTTCCGTAAATCAGTCCACTCTTTATTGCTCTCAGTTTACAATTTTTGCCCGCTACATTTTAACAACTTTCTAAGGCCGAACATATCTACAATGTTTGCCCGCCTAGCTTTTGGCAACTTTCTGAGGTCGAACATATGTTTACAATGTTTGCCCGCTAGGGTTTTAATAACTTTCCAAGGCCCATCATATTTTTAAAATGGTTGTATGAATGACTTTAAAAGGACTAAGATAAATATTATGCATTTTATCTTATACGATTTTTTTTTAAACCAAACAATAACAGATTGAAACAAATAACCACTTTTGGCAATAAAGAAGACAACACATAGCTAATGTGATTATATTTTCACTGCAAACCTACACATAACTTCAGAAACCAACGGATAGGCTAAACAGTTTGTATACATACACAGATAAACATATACATATATATATATATATATATATATATATATATATATATATATATATATATATATATATATATATATATAATATAATTTCAATGAGAAATAATAATTGAACATACACACACACAAAAAAGCTATGACTAGGAAGGTTAACGGAGGAACAAGAGCAACTGTCCCTTTTTTAACTATATTTTATTAGAGTACTGTGGGATGGCTATGGGGGATGGCGCTTGAGCGTAAGGAGTTTTGGCCGCATGGCTAGTGCACTCGCCACGCACTGTACACCGTATTGACCGCTTCACCACCTCTGATCAGAAGACGCGATGAGCTAATAGGAGCTTTTTCTAATAAAAACGATTTAGATTAATAATGGAGCTCTTTCAATTAACAGGCAGCCCGTCACAGGTGTACAGGTTACACCTAAAATAGTAGGGGGCTGAGTGGCCTTAGGTATGGTGTCCGCCTAGTGTGCTAGAGGTCCTAGGCTCAGGGCTATGTCAGGGCTGGAGGTTCTTCACGTGGACTTATAGTAATTTCCATTGGTCTCTGGATAAGGAGATCGGACGCCGGTGTGTATTGTTGGGCACGTAAAAAATCCCTTGGTATTTGGAAATCGAAAAGAGTACCCTGACGGCGCTGCCCGGGCAAAATTTGGAGTTAAAAATCTTCCCAAAATATTTCAGGATCCTCGCCGCTGCTATAGAGCTTGTGCACTGTGCTGAGCTTCTTCGGACTCAGACTTGAATTAGAAGAAGAACGGAGCACTTATGGGTTACTAGCCGTGTGCCATGATGTTGATCCATTGTTCACCTCAAACCTTTAAAAATAGTATACATTTTTAAATTGTGTATTCTAGATTCTTCAGTCACGTTATTCCAGTATTTCTCAGGGATTATTTCAACCCTTTCTGTGATACTTTCCTAAACCGCACAATTCTTCTTTTGTGTAACCATGTACACTATTTCAATTTCTAATGAGTTTAAACTGTGTATCTGCTATATAAGTTGGTTAAACCAGCTACGAGGCGATCGGGTGACGAACTCCTAGTGGTCCGAGTTCACGATCGGGGGGGGGGGGGGGGGGGGGGGGGGGGGTTAGCAGAAAAGCAAAACATTTCCTATATTTACAATGGAATCAAGACCGAAGGGTTGCAGTATCCATTGTACCGAGCCAAAGGGTTTAAAACTCATGGTTTCTAAATAAAAATACAAAAAAAAAAAAACAAAAAAAAACATGGCATTATCTAGAACATGCCCCGTTGGCTTGCCACACAAACTAAGATGTTCGTAATTTTACAGTGGCGAACACGACGTCTAAGCTCATGCTTTAGCTGCATTACTTCAACTCCTTAGGAATCATTATCATCATAATGTGATTCGTATTTTGCAAAACGTCGCTCTCACCACGGTCTGCCTGCTAGAAACTCGGTCTCCTCGCGCTTTTCCGCCTCGTGTACTTTCATATCCAAGGAGTCACTTTTATCCTGTGCCCATCTTCGCGTTGGTCGGCCCCTGCCCCTCCTTCCTGGTACCAAGACTTCTGCTATTGGTTTTTTTTTCCAATCCAAGTCCAAGTCCAAGTCCTTTTAAGAAAAAAAAAGAAAAGCTCGACCACGTTCAGACTGCTGCTAGCTAGCCTAGGCTGCTAACAGTTCCGCCTATATTTGTGGTCTGGGTTATTTGCGTCACTTTCGTGACTGAATACTGGTGTTTGTGCCATTTCTGGCTTAATGCTTCCCTCCGTATCAAACCACTCGTCCTGTTGTCACTGGTGCAAGTCTTCCTTCTTCATTCGTGATGTTTCCTGTTTGTTCTGTCTCCCTTTGATCTGGCTAGGCGTATCTCGAAGGAGAGCGAGCTTCCAAACACAACGACCTTTCGGCCACCATTTATTGTTTTAAAATTTTGAGTATTTTAATTTTCCAAAAAGTACTGAAAACAGTTTTTGAATGTGAATAGTTCCGAAATGTGAAAATTTTCCGCGTATGACCATAGTGGTCTTATAGTTGTCTTCCTGTAATATGAACGGGTTAGTCATGTATTGGATATGTGTGTGGGAGTTTGTGTGGAGTCTTAAGCGAGTCCAGTCGTCATTTGTTATTATGTGATCGGGTTGTGTTGATAGCTAAGCTCCGGTGTACGTAAATACCAATCCTCCATAGTGCTTGATATGACCACAATATTTCGGCTTCCGAGACAACATGCTGTTTATTAGCCAGTCTCCCATGATGTTCAGATCTTTTAAAATTAAGAATGAAAGATTATAATTCTAAAGTAAACATATTTTGAAATGCAAGATTTTGACACGAAAACCGTTTAGGAATAAAAGACTTCATTAATTAATTAACATTGCCTGCGTGTCTTGCATTTCGAGGAGCGAAAAGAGCTTTTGGATGTAGTATCATATAGTGTGGGTAAGCTTAGCTGGGGTGTAAATATATCTCTGTTGCCGGTTGGAATTGTTTCCCGCGACTGGAAATCTTCCGTTGATCGATTACTTCTTAAACTTGAGGTATTTGTTTCAGTGCTGCTACAGTTGACTGGAACTGACTGGACACGCCTCAGACGACGATTTCTACAGCAACCGAGCGTGTTCATGAGTTGTTCTCTGAATTTGCGACCTGTTAAAACGTAGAGGAAAAAGTTAATGCTATGGTTGCCATACAGCAGGACATTTACGATACTGGCAGCCAGGGTGTACTGAGCCAAAATCTGGAAGTCGGTTTTATTTGGCGTTGGTTTGAAATTGAAGACAACTGGTCTAATAATATGCAGAATGACCCGGGGAGCTGTCATAAATATGAATGAGAAGGCAACCACAACAAGAGTGATCGTGATTTTCCTATAAGTATAACTCATAGTCCACGGAATCTCACTAGATTTGGATCCCTTCATAGACAAAGTTATGGCAATAGATTTTCGGTGGTTGCGAATAATCAGAAAATTGAACACAATCAAAATAGTAAAGGGAAGAAACGAGTAGACTGTAGCGTCCAACCAAGGCCATATTACATCCAGAAAATGGCGATACTGGTCGTAACCCACACAAGTTTTGTCCTGAAAGCCTGGCTGCGTCTTTACATCCAGGATTATTAGAAAATGGAAATTGACCAGAACTGCGACAATACCTAATACACCAACAACGATTCTGGCTCTACGAGGTGTTGACAGTCTAAGTGCTCTCAGAGGAAACGAAATTGCAATGTATCTATCAATAGTCATAGCTACCAAAATCCAGGCACTGAAGCTAAAACTCCAGTAAGAAAGAAAGTTTAACAGTCGACAGGCGACTGTGCTAGATGGCCGCGGGTCAACGTTTAGGGTCAGCAGCCACCGAAGAAGGCAAGGTCCGAGTAGCACGGACAGGTCAGCCAGAGCCAAGGCGGCCATGTAGTTGCATATTGGTAAATGCGTGAGTCCTAGCATCACTACTAGGGTCAAGATATTGGCTACACTTCCCACGACGATTTCGGTGATGAAGCCGTAGAAGTTGATGTAAGCTGCTAGGCGGTATTCTGGGAAGTTCATCAACATTGAGTTCAAGGCCGCCTGGGCGTTGAAAGCAGGTAGTGGCATTCTACGCGTCGACGTTGTCATGGCAACATATGTGGCGTTTTCAAAGATAATGTCTGTGAAGTTATTCATGGTTTATCGTTTGTTTTAATTCTTGTGAAAACTTTTCTATTTTGTCACAAGTTTTGTATGTCAGTTCACATTTTAGCATCCACAGAAGCTCTGTGTACCTTGTCAGTTCAACTTGTTCGCACGATGTTTCTATTCATAATTGTAAACTACATCTTGACGATAATCACACTTCTAAGCTATTTACAAAGTAAAAACAAATAACAAAATGCCTTCCACGTGCAATAAACAAATTATTCACCATATCTCCACAACATATTGAAGATATGTGCATATACAAGTTGAAGTCTGGGAATTGTTATTATCTTTGCAAAACTATATCATGTAATTTAATCATCGTGATGTCAGTTAACAACAAATACATTATCCATTGACAAGCATGCTGGGTAAACTTGTAGCTTCCCCTGAATCCTTAACAAGAATGTAATGAGCTGGATGCAGTTATGTATTATGCGTCTGAATGCATTGAATCGTTCACTTCGAATGATCTGATACAAACATGTTCCAATATCAAATAGCAGAAACAAGAGAGCGCTGCTGGCCAGAGCTCTTATCAAATCTATGGCCAAGTTTTTTATATTTTTATGAGGGTCCACTATTTGGCATGATCTCGTGGTCTGAAGGAGTCAAACAGTAGCCCTAGATATTCTGGTCTTTGATAAAGTTGTTTTCGCCAGTAAATCAATCAATACAGGCGATGACGTTTACTGCGTGACTAAACAGGCGTTATCTTCAGTTATCTACTCGAGACATTTTGTTTTGGGACTGAATGTTGTTATGAATAATGGAGATAGAGGCTTTTAAAAAAAACATCCATGCTTTAAACTTTAAACTTGAGGGAATAAAAACATTTCCCCCTAAAACAGACAGTAACAACCCAGTCAATTGAAATAAGCACTAAAAGCGACTTTCATTTGAAACCCGTTCCAGTGGCTTTATAACTAAAGCATGATCCTTACCAGCTTAGGTTTAGACGACGGATCAACATTATGGCACAAGGGTAGATACCCATTAGTGCTCAGTTCTACTTCCGACTCAAGTCTGAGTTCGAAGAGTCTCAGCGCAGTGCACGAACTCTGTAGCCCAGGCGAGCATTCCGAAATACTTAGGGTAGCTTTTTAATTCCAGATTTTGCCCAGGCAGCGCTATTGGGCTATTTTTTAAATTTTATTTCCAACTGTCTTACTACCCAGAGACCAGGGGAAATTACTAGAAGTTCACGTAAAAAAATTCCAGCCTTCACCGGGGTTTAAACCTGGGACCTCCAGCCCTCGAGACGACACCACAGCTAGAGATCATACTTAGGACCAGCTTAGGACTGCAGGTTACACCAGGCTGGTGTAACCGTTTCAGGGTCCTAATTCAAACTTTTTTTTTTTTTTTTTTGTGAAATTGAAAAGGGTATCTGGAATTAACCTTATTAGCATTTTAATATCAGGATGGCATGGTAAACTTTCATGTAGCAGCCAGGAGGGCTTAAAGATGTTTTACAGCATTCACAATGACTAATAATATAGCACTTTCAGTGCTCCCGTTTTTGAGGGGTAAGGGATAAACAAAATAGACCAACTTCTCAACCCCCCCCCCCCCCCACAAGGATGTCGAAAAAAAGTGACTAATTAAGTGTTCGCTGACATCAAATAGGCCGAAAGGCACAGATCTGACAGCCTAGCTGTAAACCACAATACAACCTGCCAACACTTCCTCCCTCTTAAGGGCGAACGCAGAAGAAGTATATATAGAACTTGTACTGATGTGAAGCATGTGAAGTATGAACTATAAGTGACAAACTGGGAACTATTTAATGGCAGTGGATATATCACGATTTAAAAAAAAAAATTAAAAGTAGTGACACTTGTCTACAAAGAAGACCCCAACAATAAACTGCACAATGTATTGCTCCACTTATCTAGTCACGTACATACTACGGTAACAAATAGAATATGTTGAAAAAACAACAAATGAATCCTTCAAACTAAACTACAGAATCGACTACACTCTAAAAGTAACAGTCTGATTTACTAAGGCGAACACACAAGTTCACGACGTTCACGACCATGTACTTTTTTCCTGCACAAATCTAGCGATGTATCGTAGTCGCTTCAGCGAAGCGTTGCATTCTGTGATTAGTGATTGTCACGTTTTTAAATACATTTAATATTATGTGAAATATATTATTATATTTTTCGCACTAAAATCACTGTTATTTGTTATATAATGTATTAATATTTTTTTTTAACCGGCCCTTACGCTTTCTAGAAAATGTCTAGTTGGGCTGAACAAATCCAATATTTTAAATGTGATGGAGACCCTGATAATATTTGTTCATCTTGCAAAATAAACCTTTAAGCAAGAAACTTCTTTAACGAATGCAGAATTGAAAACGCCAGTGATCAGTTGTGCAGGTCTGCCTTCATTGTTCAAATTGTCAACGGGTAAACTTGCTTTAATTTAGTGACAACTTATAATTTCAAAGTGAAAACAAAAAGCAAGAAGTCTAAGAGATGAGTGTGTGATAATTAACCCCACCAGGACCGCACAACTAGCGATAAACAGTCGGTGACACAAAGTGCCACTATTCGGATGAGAATCACCCTGGTATAAGTCCCGGTAAGCCTATTCAACCGTAAGATTAAATTAGAGCACCGAACTACAGCTGGGGTGGGGCTTTAAAATAACCCCAAGATATTTTCCTCCAATCCTGCAACCGGGTCTTATTTGCAACTGTGAGAAATTAAAACCTTAATGACTTTTCTGGTGATAGTTTGAGCTGATGATCTATAACTGTCAAGGCTTTTCGGCACGGCACACGAAGATGATAAAATGAAAAGCAATAACCACAGCGACAGAAGTTATAGTTCCCGCGGACTGTAATTTGCAGAAATGAAATAAAAGTCAAGTGTCAACAACGAAGATAATTTGTTACCAAATCTAGGGGAGATAAATCACTCAACATATACTCTACCAGTTTATTGCCCTTATGAAACAGCAGGTGGCCATTTTGACAGACTGTTAAGAATGTCTTACTGTTGCTCAAGATTATTGCTGCAGTGAATAATGGATTCGTTAAATGATCTTTTCACTTGCTAGGACTTTCAGGTTGACAGATAGTAACACTGAGTTAGTCCTATAGTGCGAAATATTAGGACTTCACATAGTCTATGCCACTAGATCATGTGATCGCACGTCCGCTTCTCTTACTGGTTATGTTCTTTCCAGACTGATTCTAGTGGTGTTGATGTTGAATCTTTAATTTGATAACCTAGATTTACCGGTACTGCCTAAAACAAACAATCTCGTCATCCTACAACGGTTATTATCATATCTGGTTTCGTCCTTTTTAGGACGAAATTTTTTGTTATTAGAAGCCTCACCCTGGCTTTTGCCAGGGGCCGCAATATAGGCAGGCCATAAATATGGCCAATTGTCTGAACGCGGTTTCTGGGACCTCTCCACGGCGATCCTCGTCCGCATGGTGGCACTTTGTGTCATCGGGTGTTTATCGCTTGTGTGATGTCCTGTTGGGGTAGAAAATCAGTCAGTCATCTCGTCATCCGCCATCCCCCTGTGGGATGCAATTTTGTTTAGCTATTTTGAAGCCCCACCCGCTTGTGCGATGTCTTGATGGGGTACAACTTGTTACCTTACATACATACATATTACCAGTACTTTGCCTACCATTGTTCTTAGTTCTTCATCGGTGTCTCTGTTTCTTCTTTATTTTCCCGCCGCATTTCTTATACCTCTCATTTCACGTGTTGTAATTGTGCGTTTATGTTTATTTTTTCGAGAACTGTCCATGTCTGGCACTGATAGCACAAAGTTAGTATGAATAGTAAATTTAAAAGCTGCCCTTTTGTGTGCGTTTTGATGCCTCAGAAGTGGCTTTGTTTGATAATTTATATTGTTGGCCTTCTGTATTCTGTTTCCTATTTCTCTGTCTGATCCTCCATCTGCCGTGAATACAGGCCTAGATACTTAAACTTTATCACCATTATCATCATCAAGTGCCTTGCCGACTCGAGTGAGTGATAATGTTTCTCCACAATCTGCGTTCCGCAACTGCGTGTATCAGTTCGTGCGTTGACACCCCTCCATACCAAGACATTAGACTGTCAAGAATCTTCGCATGCTGTCTTCTTCTGTTCCTCTTTTTAAAAATCTTTCCAGAGGTCACAACACGTTCCTTATTGCCCTCTTCCCATAACAATACCAAGAAAAAATGATGACTGTCTCTTTATGATGTCTGTGATAAGTTGTCTTCGAGCACTCGCCTTTCATAAAACATCTAGACTGCTCTTCTTAGCTGTCCAAGGAATTTCAAGGATTCTTCTGTTTTGTTTTTGTTTTTAGTATCCAGAAACCATTAGTTGTTAGCCATTCTGCTCGGTACTATGGATATCGCAACCCTCCGGCCTTGATTCCACGATAGAAACCGTATATCTGGGAGAAATGTGGGTTTTCTGCCAAACCCTGGGCGTGAACCCGGACCACAAGGAATTCTTCATCCGGTCGCGGCGCAGTAAGGCTTAGCCAACTATTCTAGCGAGCCGGGCGAGGATTCTTATGTAAAACAACATTTCCCCGGCCTGAAGATATTGTTCGGCTTGTTTATTTAACTCCTTAGATTGTTTTACTTGTTTCTCCTTCAGCAGTGACGATGTGTTGAATTGATACTGATGTTCTGTTTACTGCCATTATTTCCTTATTTTTTCTTTCTTTCTGTATCTTTTTTCCCTTCATATTATATGTTTTCGCAATTGTTTATCACGTAGTAAACACAGACAACTTAGCGTGCTTTCATGCAAACGAAATGTATCATTCACAGTCGACATAAATATGCCAGTTGGAAACTTCTGTCAAAGACGCAGATTACAAAGCTTAAATCTCAGTAAAGAAATCAAGTGAATATCATATATGTGTCCGAACAAGAAGTTTTTGATAAAGCCTGAGATATGGATTGTTTAAAACTGTAAACTCGACTTCAGACTGAAAACTGGTGA